TCAAAAATAAGACAAATAATGCAATTTTAATTGAGGGAAAATGAACAAATAATTCACAAAGGACATTGTACCAATGGCCAATAAACACATAAAAAGCAAAGCATTAGTTATAATAAAAATGCCAATGAAAACCAAAATGAGATACTATTACACACCTACTAACATTCCTAAAATTTAAAATGGTTAATATATCTAGCATTGACAATGATGGAGAACAATTGGAACTCTAACATGTTCGTGGTACAGCAACATGGCTTGACCATGTTATAAAATGATTTGACAGTAATTCAAATATGCACTTGCTATAAACTTGTAAATTCTATTCCTACAAAAGAAAAATGAAAACAAATCACAAAAAAGTGCAATGCAACAAATCACTTGTGCCCACACTTTCAGACAAACTTGATGTATAATAGTAAATATTCAGGAACAATATAATATCAATAAGTACATTAAGGGAAAACTACTTGTGGTATATGTATACAACAGTAAATTACTTAGCAATAAAATGAATTTATTCTTGATATATTAAAAAATGTGAAAGAATCTCAAAAAATTAGAATGAAAAATGCCAGAAAGAAAATAATAAAAATTCTGGGATCCCATCTGTATGAAATTCTAGAATAGGAAAAAGATTCTGCAGTGATGGAAAGTTGATCACTATATCCAGAGATAAGGTGTGATGAGGGTTGGCTACAAAGGGGCATGAAAAAATTAGTTGGATGGTGGAAACATTCATGTGTTCAATGTAAATGTTTTACTGAGGTTTTATTTGAATACAAACTCCTTACTAATTACAAAATTATATTTCATGGAATCTTAAAACAATGATACAATACCTGAGATTTCATTTAAAATAGAGAGGAGGTGGGAGGTCTGGACACCAGTGGCCATGAGAATCACAGGTAACTGGACACATATCTTAACTGGGTTGCTCTAAAAACTGTCCAAACTATCTCAGCATGACCTGTAGTGGAGGAAATGAACACAACCAGCCTCCCTCAGTTGCATTCTCCCCGGTTAGTCCTGAAAGTCTTTCCACCTGTAGAACTTATATCCATAATATATGCATGGTGTCTGACTTTTACTACCCAAATATGGGAGGTGTGGAAAGCCACATTTATCTCTCAATGCCTCATTGAAAGAAGACATGAGGTCATAATTGTCACCCATGCTTATGGAACTTGAAAAGGCATCTATTACCTTATTAATGGCCTCAATGCCTATTATTTGCCTCTGAAAGTCATGTACAACAAATCTACAGCCATGACCCTCTCTCACAGTCTGCCACTGTTTAGGGGCTGATTTGCTTAGTGGTATATTACCTGATCTCTGTCAGAAATACCCAGATTTACATTTCACAATTTGAGGAAAGAGACCAAAGAGAATCATTTTGGAAGAAGTATGGGAAAAATACCAGCTACATGACAGGGTATGTCTTTTGAGAGCTTAAGAACACAAGAATGTTAGAAATGTCTTAGTTCAAGGGCATATTTTTTAAATACCTCCCTTACCAAAGCATTCTGCATGGTGATAATGGAATCAGCCAGTAGTGGTTTGCAGGTTAGTACCAGAGTTGGTGGAATTCCTGAGGTGCTCCCAGAAAATCTTATTATTTTATGTAAGCCTTCAATAAGATCTTTGTATGAAGGATTGAAAAAAGCCATTTTCCAACAGAAATCAGAAGAATTTCTGGCTCCAGAAAATATCCATAACATAGTAAAGATGTTCTACACTTGGAAGAATGTCACAGAGAGAACTGAAAAAGTATATGAGCGGGTGGCAGGAGAAGCTGTGTTGTCAAAGGAAAAGCTACTAGACAGGCTCATCTCTCATTGTGGCCCAGTAACAACCTACATTTTTGCTTTGTTTGCTGTGATCAGCTATCTCTTCCTCATTTTCCTGAGATGGATGATTCCAGATTCTACCACTAATGTTGCTGTAGATGTCACTGGGCCAGGGAGTGCTTGGAATCATCAGTATCCTCACAGTAAAAAGAGGGATGAAAGTGATGAGGTGTCTAAAACCAGGTAGAAGACAGCCTGAACTGTAAAATTTTAAGCATTTGTAATAGTTCTATTAAGATGGTTGAAAATAACCTTGCTTTTTTGTTTTATGTTTTAAAAGTAAATTTAGTCAGTTATACTACCTCTGTATCATTCAATGTTTTATTTTAAGGAAAGATAAAAACTTCTGCAATTCCTGAGTGTAGAAACTCCTTGCACTTATTTAAGACTTAAGAGAGAATGGTTAAGCCACTCAGGTATGAAATTTTTCAGATTACTGAAGCTGCTCTACCAGAGATGTTTAACCTTATATTTTCCAAACTTTGGGTGCTAAAGGGACAAACATTTCTGGGCATTTTTTGGCCAGTTTTTAATGTTATACCATTAATTAGACATTTACCAGATGTTTACAAGTTTTCTTTAGGGAAGTACAATTATGAGTCATATTCATATACATTTAGTAGATATTTGAGTCATGCACCTAAACTTTTATTGGGTTTCCTCAGTAAGTGTTACACATAATCTTATCAGCAGGTTTCTTGAGTAAGATGGACTACTAGTTAGCAGCATGTTTTGAGTACCTGCTGTGTATAAAATGTTGAACTAGATAGTCCCTGCCATTAAAGACCAGGGATACATTCATTCTTTATCATTCAAATGGCTTATTTCATTGTAGCCACAATTGACATGAAATGGTAAAATATTTAACATGCCAAAAAATGCTCATCCTAGTTAATGCCAGGGAAGTTATTGGCATGCTCCAAGTACTTCTTTGATCCTGTTATATGCATTTTCCTAAGTAGAGTCTTTGTCTTCAGTTGTGTTTATGAAGAGACTTTTGCTGTTTAAATTCTAGGGAACAATATCACTGTTGATGATAGTGCAGAGAAACCCTCCAAATTTTCAGTGCATAATTTAAGCCTCTGTAACTGCCTTCATGTTTTCTGAGCATAATGTATGAGCTGTGCCATCTCAAAACCAGCTGCTGCCCTGTCCTTTGATAGAAGTCGCTACTCTTCACTGTGGCCTAGCTGATGTCTGATAAGTATTGTCAGTGAGCAAGAAGGCTTTACTTCAGAATGTTTTATGTATAACATATTGAGTCTGAAAATTTTAGGAACACAGTCACATTGTAGGTGGATTTTGTTAACTGCAATTAACAGAACAATGGGTTTTTTTAGCCCCAAATTATCCACATGGTGTGTATTATTAATCCTTTGAACTGTTTATAATAATTCTTTGTGAGAAAAGAACTGTGAAGTAAGTCATAGCAGTGAGGCACTTGTGGGTACACTAGATAGATTCTGTCAGTATTGTGATTCTGTTCAGGATTTTTTAAAAACATTCATAAAGCTTCTTACGTTATAAAAAAGCACCTTAACATACAAATAACTCATTTGCCACTTATATAAAAGAAATATATTTGTGTTTTGTTTGTATGAAAACACAAATGCAAGAGTGCAATTTTTTAAAATCTAGAAATTAGGAATTCTGTTGGAGAAAAATGGACTGATCCAAAACATTTAGTCCTATTAGAATTTTTATGCTTTGAGACTGATATATAAATTTGAAATAAACAGTGCCAATATTCCTGATAAAGTGAGAAATGGTTAACATTTGGTTTTATTTATTCTACTTGGCAGTTTTTAAAGGCACATTACTGTTTTTTCTTTTATTTTTACTTTTTAATTTTTCTGAGAATTTCCATTTAATTCTTAAATTGTCACTTATTTAAGATGAAAACAGGATTTGAAATTAGTTGCTTTTACATGTAAAATATATAATTACAAGTCAAAAATTATTCTTCTTTGTTACCAAGTGGAAATAAATTCATTTGTCTTACATAAATAATTTTCATCCTTCCTGAATACCTTAATTGTAATTGTCAGTGTTTCACTGGTCAGTATGTGGAAACACATTGTTCTACCCTGCTATTTATACTTATTTGAAAGTGAACTTAACATTGATGAGGAATTTACTAAAAATATGTTGTATTTCTTTTGATGTTACAAACAGCTGCACATGTAAAATGGGTTTCTTAAAACATGGTACATGTCCAAAAATAAAGATGAGCATGACATTTTGACAAAAAATAAAATAAGAGGTAGCAAGTGGTTGTATAGATGAACAAAATTGGTAATACATTCATAATTGCTGAAGTAGTACAATTAATACAGGAAGGAGTATATTATATTCTAATCCTTACTCTCACATCCATTCAAAGTTTGCATTACAAAAATTTAAATTAAGTAGCACTGCAGTATAATTCTATATTTTGTGTGTATGTACATATAGAAAACATACTTTATAAATATACTTGCATTGTAAGTCTGAAAGAATATACACAAGATTTTTAGTAATTATTAGTCCTGCATGTTTGGAAATTCAGAGTACTGTAATTATTTTTCTTGTGATTAGTGTAAATTTAATCTTTTTTTTGAAGAGGTATTATTACACACATAATTAAAATGCATATAATTGCCATAACTAGAAAGCCATTGGTATGATTACTCTGTTATCAGATTGAAATTATATTACCTTTATTCAGAAAATTAGTCACTGAAATTCCAAAGACAATTTTATCTATATTTTATTAGAATTAGCATTTTGAATATATATTTCTTGGATTAGCACTCTTCTTGGTTTGTTTCTTCAGAAGATTGGGTCAACTATAATGCTTTTTAGTGTGCGTGTGTGTGTTTTTCTTTTTGCATCTTTCCCAACTCTGTCCTGCACTTGCTTTTTCATCACTTTTTGTGACTAGCTTCAAATGTCAATCTGCTGAAGCCTCAGATCACTTTCATTTAAACTTCTATTACGGTTTTGACTTTTAAAAGATTGACATTTAACTTCCTACTCAATATAACTAAAGCCAACCTTTCAAGACTATGTACCACCATAGTGTACTAAGAAGTTAGTCTTGTGTGATTGAAGTAGATGTGCTTAACAAAAAGAATATGGATTTAAATTGCAACCCTGACATCAGTAGAGCACTTTTGAACAAATAGTGAACTCTGAATCTTAATTTCTTTGTATTTAAAAAGAGAAGTAGTAATGTTACCTCACAGGACTGGAAATAAGAAAATATAATAAAGCACGAGAGATTTTTTTAAACATAATATGTGTTCAATAAATGCTGACTCTCCTTTCCTCTATCTCCATACATAACACCTATGTACCATACAAATTTTACTAAACTCACAGTTCTCAAAAACAATCCCTGGGCTTTAACAAGTTTAGACAAGGAGACCTGAAGATCTGAGCCTCTTTAAGCTAGACAATGAAATGAGATGGAAAAGCAAGTGCAGGAAAAGCTTGATAAAGATAAAATATTACTTGAAATGGTATCATTGCATTTCTCAGCCTGCAAGATTTTACAAACTTCAAGGTCCAACCTAAACAGCACTACTTTCAAAAAGCATTTCCTTATTTTCAAATCAAATGTGTTTTTCCCCTCCTTCAGTAATGCTGAAAACCATAGACTTTTCTTCTTGATGCATGTCTTGATTTATTCATTACTGTGACTTTCATTTGAATACTATCTATCTGCCCATCTATAATATTCTTAATGTCAGAAGCTCCGCCTAAGCTGTCCTTGTATAAATTGTAGTGTGAAGCTGGGTGCCTGAGATTCCTGGTTGTAATCCTAGCCACTTGGGAGGCTGAGATCAGGCCAGCCCCAGACAAATAGTTCACAAGACTCCCATCTCTAAAAACAATCAGACCAAAATTGATTAGAGGTGTGGCTCAAGTGGTAAAGTGCCTAATTCATAGCTGTGAACTCCTGAGTTCAAATCCCAGTCCCACAAAATAAATAAATATAGTGTATAGCACAGAACCACCATCATGGTAAGCATATGCCAATTGATTTAGGAGTATAAATGAGGAGATAAAAGAATACAGGTGTGGTGATGATTGGAACTGTAAAGTTTACATGTAAAATATAAGACATGAAAAGTTTCTGCACTACATTTTCGAAAAAGAAGCAACAAACATAGACAAAGATAGGTAAAAATAAATGTGTATACTATGTATATCTTCAGTTTTTACAAAAAAACACAAACAATGAAAAATGAAGGAGTTGGCTTATTATAGATGTATCAGAGAATTATTGCTTAAAATGCAGTATATTTAAATAGAAATATCAAATCTGAAATTGATTCATCTAGCTTTTAAGAAAAAGATTCCAATATTATATCACCATTGAGAATACAGATATTGGTATCAACAGTATATAGATTCTCAAATACATATATTAACATGAACACACAGAATGGTCAACTTTGATTTAGGTGTATTTGGCCACATTCAAATTTCCATGCAAGCCAGCTAGATAGTAAGATTAAAATAAAACCTGAAAGTATGTGAGATATTAACATATGCAATCCTCCTACATTATCCCAGGATCCCAAAAAAACTACAAAAATATTATGGTAGGGGCAGATATTTACCAAAAAGAGATTAATAAGTTTCTTCTTATTAATGAACTACATTGCAGTAGACAATATATTTGTTAACATAGAACAACCATTTAGATCAACCAGAATCAAATTCTGTGACATTCTGGACCCCTCCCTAGGCCACACCACACTGAGAAAAGCAACACCATTTCTCCCCACCAGCTGAATTTCAGAATGAAATTCAGATTTCATTCTGAATTTGCAGAATGAAAAGGTGAACATTACACACCACAATACGTGTGACTACCCTACCCACTGCCCGGGGAACACAATCCAGCCCAGCCCATGGATGGACTGAACCCACCCAACAAAACTGAAAACCATAAACAGGGAACTGTAATCTAACACTGACAGCAGAGATGAGGATGGAATGCCTAACATGCCTGGAGAATGGGGATGGGGCAAGGGGATGAACACTCAGTGCCAAACTCTCAGTGAACAAATGCAGGTAAAGCAACAAAAGCTGAGAGTGGGAGCAAGGCAGCAGGCCAACCTCCCAGAGCAGCTACTAGCACCCAAATGAGGTCAGGAGAGGCACAAGGGCTGAGGGCAGAGGTGGGGTGACAGG